CGGCACGTGAGCTCTTCCCAGGCCAAGCTTCCTACACTGGCAAGAGGATCCTTTACCACCGAGCCACCGGGGAAGCCTGAACGTCATTTTCATAGTGAAAAATTAAAAATAACTTGATGTCCCGTAGCACCGTGACACTGATTTCCTCAAGTGTGCTCCCAAAGCACTGTAGGAGTTTCGTCATCTTAAATATTACTCGGCACCATGGGATAAGAAGGAAAATATGCAATTAGATTTAACTCAAGCCACATAATCTCTAATATGCTTTAAATGCACAAACATACCACCCAGAAAATATCCAGGGAGGCCGTCGAGTGACTCAGCCCAGGGGAAGTATGGCATGGCTGCCGGGGTGGAATACTTGGTGTGGAGGTCACTGCATCCCTAAGTCTCACTTTCTGCATGTGAAGTGCAGATTAGAACCAGCTCCCGCCTCCCAGAACCGTGGGGAGGACGCCCGAGCAGAGAGCACAGCCCCGAGGTGGCCGACGTTTGCCTGACCCAGGTCACAGGCGTCTTCAGCTCTGGGCGTTGCAGGGTCTCCATCACGAGCTGGCTCACCAGGTGTTGCCCCCACGCAGCCACAGGCACTCTGTAAGCGAAGGCGGTGACTGTGCCAAGAGAACTTATTTGGGGATGCAAAAATCTGAATTCCAATTAATTTTTTCATGTCACGAAATACTCTTATTTTGACTTTTTGAAAGAAGCATTTAAGAACATAGAACATTCTTAGCTTTAGGGCTGCACAGACACCAATGCAGATGCCAACGCAGACGCCAACGCAGACCGAAACACCTCAGGCACTACGGTTCCCTGACCCTGGCTGGAGACGTTGCCTGGAATTCATATTAGTTACTAAACTGATTGCCTCATTGTTATTTGAAAAAAAAAGGGATGAAAACAGAATGTAAACTCTGGTATTCTATAATCGTAGTCGATTTTTACTTCCCTCTCTGCCTTTCTCTGGATTTTCCCACTTTTCTGAGTTGTGTCACGAGGAATCATTTTATAATTTCAAAAAGCAAACTTTGAAAGTTATGTAAACCAGGAACATCAAAATCTCTGTAAGAAAAGCAGAAAAAGAAAACAACCGACATCCCGAGACCCACTTCGTCTCAGCGCTGGCAATGCTAAGAGGTCTTTGAACGGATGGGAAACAGCTCAGAGACGAAACGCAAATTCCGCAGGAGAGGCAGCCAAGGAGCCGTGTTTCCTTCAGATTGAAGGAAAAATATTTATTCTGCTGGTGGACCTTGTCACAGGAGTGCAGGAGGGGCTGGGGCCCTGGAGTCCTGTCTGTGATCTCGGGACGGGGTCGGAATTTGTACTCACCCAGCAGAAGTGTTCGTGCAGGAGGACAAGTGTTCCTGATACTAGGAAGAGAAGCAGGTTTGAGATGGAATGTCTTCTTGTTTGCTTGTTTCTGATTTAAAAGCCGGAATGTCCTCATTTGAGATTTCTTCTAAGCCAGTCTCAGAAGCAGCAGAATCTGTCATTGAAATGAATGGATGCACTTAAGACACAGCAGCAGAGTCCTGCAGCCTTCTGGTATGTTCTGGCCCCGACCCTTTCTGCAAGAAGAGTTTAGAGATTAATTTTTTGTTGTTCAGTTGCTCAGTCATGTCTGACTCCTCTCCTCCTGACCCCATGGACTGCAGCACGCCAGACTTCCCTGTCCTTCACCATCTCCCGGAGTCTGCTCAAACTCATGTCCTTTGAGTCTATGATGCCATCCAACTTTCTCATCAGCTGTCGTCCCTTTCTCCTCCTGCCTTCAATCTTTCCCAGCATCAGGGTCTTTTCCAGTGAGTCAGCTCTTCGCATCAGGTGGCCAAAGTATTGGAGCTTCAGCTTCAGCTTCAGTCCCTCCCAATAAGTATTCAGGGTTGATTTCCTTTCTTTTAATTTTTCCCAATTTACTGAGAGAGTCAGCCAGACCTGGCTGTGTCATGTGATAGCTGTTGAATCTCTCAGTCTGCACCTACAGCAGGCAGCCCACAAGGAAGCAAAATAGAAAGTGATGAGCAATGCTTGCCACTAAAGTAGGGGCCAAGGCACCTGTGACCCCAAGTGGGTGAGGACGAGCCCATGAGACCTGCCGGGTGTGAGTGCCCAAGTGGAGGAAAGCAGAAGACGTAACGGGGAGTCTGTGAACCCGAACAGAGGAAACACAGGACCTGGCCCATGTGCCCAGAAAGCCCTGAAGGCTGCCTGGAGGAGGCACAGGACCCGGGGAGAGCTTGCCCCCGCCCCCCAGGCTTCCTCCTGGGGCAGGGCCCCAGGACAGGGCACTTCTGGGGAGACGAGAGGAACTCGAGCAGGGCAGAGTGGGCAGGGGGCGGGGACTCCAGAGAAAATAGGGCAGAGCTGCGGGCCTCCACAAGCCACGGTAGGTTCTACGACTAAAGAGAGACAGCCACAGAGGAAATTCCGGGAAGACAGAGCTGCCCTGAGCCACACCACCTTCTCCAGTTCAGGAAAGCTGATGTTTCATAAAAGCACTAAGGCCAAATCCCAGACAAAGCTTTATTTAGAAAGGAAGGAGGAGCAGAACTAAGTCCCTGCAATGACAGAAGAGGAAGTGATGAGCAGGCAAGTCAGACCACACGCTCGTTCAAAACAAGGTGAAAGACACTAGAAATGATCCAGGATGGGGGACAAAAGCGTAAATCAGAATCAGAAACACAGAAAGAACAGACAAATGGATAAGAAAGCTGTGGTGCATATACACAATGGAATATTACTCAGCCATTAAAAAGAATGCATTTGAATCAGTTCTAATACGATGGATGAAACTGGAGCCCATTATACAGAGTGAAGTAAGCCAGAAAGATAAACACCAATACAGTATACTAACGCATATATATGGAATTTTAAAAGATGGTAACGATAACCCTATGTGCAAAACAGAAAAAGAGACACAGATGTATAGAACAGACTTTTGGACTCAGTGGGAGGAGGCAAGGGTGGGATGATCTGAGAGAACAGCATCAAAACATGTATATTATCAAGGGTGAAACAGATCACCAGCCCAGGTTGGATGCATGAGACAAGTGCTCGGGGCTGGTGCACTGGGAAGACCCAGGGGGATGGGGTGGGGAGGGAGGTGGGAGGGGGGATCGGGATGGGGAACACATGTAAATCCATGGCTGATTCATGTCAATGTATGGCAAAAACCACTACAATATTGTAAAGTAATTAGCCTCCAACTAATAAAAATAATTGAAAAAACAAACAAACAAAAAAAGAATTACAAGGGGAAGAAAGATATGGAAAGATAATTACAGCTTTAAAGAGACATCAACCAAATGCAACAAATGGACCTTGATTGGATTCTGGTTGAAACAAACCGTAAGAAATATATATTGTATGAGAAGATCTGGGAAAATTGAAAACTGTGATGTGATTATATTCAAGCTGTCTTATAAATTACAAAAAAAAAGAAACACAGAAATGAGTTGAAGAAAAAGACAGGAAGTAATTAGGAGGAAATTATCAGAAAATAGGATAAATGAAAAGAAATATAAAGAAGAAGAGCAACAGGAAGAGAAACAATATTTTTTTATTATTTTATTAAATTTTATTAAATTAAGAGTTTAAAGGATTTGAAAGTGACAAATGCTGAAGTTAAAGTAGCATAAAAGTATTAGTTGCTAAATCGTGTCTGAGTTTTTGTAACCCCATGGACTGCAGCCCAAGAAGCTCCTCTATCCATGGGATTCTCCAGGCAAGAATACTGGAATGGGTTGCCGTTTCCTCCTCTTATAAATAACAGGTGCTTCAGGTAAAAATAAGCAATGTGAGGGAACAGGAGAAATACTGGAAGCTGTAACTCAAGAAAACATTCTGAAATGTAAAAAAAGAAAAAAAATACTTTACTATCCTACATAATCAAAGAGTTTCACATGTGTCTGATAATCTGGACCCTAATGGCCACTATCAAGACACCTCCTCATAAATTTCCTTGATTTTACAAAAGAAAGAACAAAAACTCCTTTTGGGTTCCAGGCAAAAATTACAAGCAATTCGTAAGGGCGTCACGGACTCAATGCACATGAGTTTGAGTAAACTCCGGGAGTTGGTGATGGACAGGGAGGCCTGGCGTGCTGCGATTCATGGGGTCACAAAGAGTCGGACACGACTGAGCAACTGAACTGAACTAAATTCATAAGGGAGAGAAATTACATATTTCATCCTATTTTTTCAACAACACCACTTTATGCCAGTAGTAAATGGAGGAATGTATTTGATAAACGGGGGGGAAAAAAATGAGCCCATAATTTTGTAGCCTGAGAGACTTTCCATTTATCACCTGCAAACATCCCGAGAAATATTACTTCTCCGAGCTCTTTCTGAGAAATCTACCAGAGAACCAATAAGAGACGACAGAAGACCCCGGGGAGACTGCGACGCGCTTCGCCATGTCGGCATCAGCGCCAGCGAGGAGCAGAGCTCCCAGAAGGCTGATCGGCGTCTGCACGCACAGCACGACCCTCCTCACAGATTCCCTAGGGTGGCGTCAGTGTTACTGGCCGCGGACGGCGGTTGTCTTTAACGGGGGCAAGTCAGTGACGCTCTAATTACAGACCTCCTCTGTGTCTGAGCGGGGCTCCCTGGTAGCTCAGACGGTAAAGCGTCTGCCTGCAATGCGGGAGACCTGGGTTCGACCCCTGGGCCGGGAAGATCCCCTGCAGAAGGAAATGGCAACCCACTCCGGTATTCTTGCCTGGAGAATCCCATGGATGGAGGAGCCTGGTAGGCTACAGTCCATGGGGTCGCGAAGAATCGGACAAGACTGAGAGACTTCTCTCTTTCTCTGTATCTGAGCAACAGGCTTCTCAGTCGGAAGGAATCGACATGACTCATCAGAGTGGTCCTGAAGCTCCCTCTCCTGCTGGAAGGAACCTGGGCTTCTTGGGGGGCGTCTCATTTCTGGCCTGGAGCAGAAGACGTGCAGATTCGGGAAGTATACTGCTTGGCAGAAGCCGAAGAGCCATCAAATGGCTCCTGGTCACGTCAGAAAGACACAAGGGCTGACTCAGACCCGGTCCTCCAGCCAAAGGTGAGGCCGTTGTTTCAAAACAGATAGCAGCTTCAGTTAGTGGTGACCTATCAGCTATGTTTAAATCTACGCGTTCTCAACACTATTCAAAATAGCAGGTGACCTTCGGGGGATGAGAGGGAACCAACTGATTGCCTTGAAAACTGATCGAAAAGAATAGTGATTAGCGATCTGGGCCGCCTTCCTTTTTTTAAAAAATTAATTAATTAATTAATTTTTTTTCATTTATTTTTATTAGTTGGAGGCTAATTACTTTACATCATTGCAGTGGTTTTTGTCATACATTGAAATGAATTAGCCATGCCGCCTCCTTACACAACGTATTCTGGAGGACCAAGAGATGCGTAAGGAGAATCTTGCCATTGAATTTATTCCAACAAAAATGTGAAAAAGAAATTGGAGAGGGAATGAAACTATAGATGAAATAAGACTTAGACAACCTAAGAATTCAAAAGTGGGGAGGGCTGAGCTGAAGCTTTGGGTGGTAAAGTGTCAGGAAAGACAGAAGTGGTTTCTATGGGAGCCAAGGTAGGGTGCTGGGATGGAATGGGGTTTCCGGGGCAAGTAGATGGAGTTGTAGCTATAGGGTATTCCTCTTAAATGACCCATGACACAATATGCTTATCTTAGAGGGTTTGCTGTGTTTTATTTTACAACAAAAAACTTAAAAAATAAATTTGTAAGACAGCAATGTAGTATCATTATGCAATTATTTTCCAATATTGTAAAAAAAAGTTTCAACAGTTAAGAGAGGGGACGAGTTCTGTTTTGAGCAGACTGTCACTGATTTGCAGTGACATTCACGTGGCCAATGTAGAACGAGGCAGAGACCCCTGGAGAGATGTGAGGACACTCTGCAAACCCAGGGATGTTCAGAGCTCACGTGTGGAAGACTACATTTTCTCAACTGCTGGATGGTTTATGCTTTAAAGTTGTGTCGTGATTCAATTCCTTGGGATTTACTGTTTGAAAGGGTCACCTGTACTCTCTGTTTATGAGCTTCTCCTATTTTGCTATTGGGTTTTCACTCTACTCCTTCCTGACCCCAGGGCTTTTTGCACCTAAGATGTATTATCAACCCTTGTCTTTGACGGGGACTTAAAAGCCTCCGTCTCAGACTGTCATCTGAGTATTTTGTGATGCTTGTTGGTGTGTTTCAATCTCTTTGGCCGTGCAGAAGTTTGATTTTTGAAGGCGCTTGCAACAGAAATATTCTGAGTGGTTGGGCAGAGGCCAGGGAAGCTCTCCAAGTGTCCCTCGTCAAGGGTGTCCTTCTTGTTGTCGCGTTGAAATGAGCCTCCTGCCACCTGGACTCCCAGAGCCCCTCAGAGCGCTGGACGCCAGGAGCCAGGCCCGTGGCTCTCCAAGCTGCATCTTGCTCTCTTTCTGGGATGTGTTACCTTTCCACCCCTCTGAGGATCCCAAGCTCCTCTCTCGCCCTAATGTCTGTCACATGTCCAGGACTGGCCTCCCCTTCTGGGCGTTTCTGAGGTCCCCACCCACCTCCACGCCCACTGTCCTTCTCTGGGCAACTCATCAGCTGCGCCTCTGCCCTGGGGACATTGTGAGCATCTCGGGGTGTTCAAATTCTGCCTCCCCAAGGCCACGGGGTGTAGTTTCATGCTCCTTGTTGGTGCTGCTTCTCAAAGGTGAAGGAGACATGTTCAGAGCAGAGCGGCCACCACGTTCCCATCTGAATCAACTCCAACGTCTTCATTTGTAATATTTTCTTATTATTTAGTTCAAAACATTTTCCCACCTTTCACTGTAATTTTGTTTTTGATAGTGGCTACTTAGAAGTACATTTTTTAATTTAAAAACTTGTGGAGATAACACTCTAATTATTTGGGGGTTATTAACATCTGGATGGAGGTTATTTGGTTGGACAACACACTGCTGTGATTTCCTTCCTTTGAAAAGTGTTGAGACTTGTTTAAGGCCCAGCATTTTGTCAATTTATAAACTCTACGCCTGAACAGAATGCTTGCTGTGTAGTAATTGGGACAGTGTTCCATGTTTCCGTCAACTAAATGTTTTGGCCATAGTTTTAAACATGTCTGCATGGTGAAGTTTTGGCTGTTGTTTCTTCCCATCAGTAAGCGCTGCCTTTTGCTGTTCAGTTGCTCAGTCGTGTCTGACTCTTTGCGACCCTGTGGACTGCAGCATGCCAGCCTTCCCTGTCCATCACCAACTTTCGGAGCTCGCTCAAACTCGTGTCCATCAAGATGGTGATGCCATCACACCATCTCATTCTCTGTCGTCCCCTTCTCCTCCTGCCTTCAATCTTTCCCAGCATCAGGGTCTTTTCAAATGAGTCAGTTCTTCACATCAGGTGGCCAAAGTATTGTAGCTTCAGCTTCAGCATCAGTCCTTCCAATGAACATTCAAGACTGATTTCCTTTAGGATGGACTGGTTTGAGCTACTTGCAGTCCAAGGGACTCTCAAGAGTCTTCTCCAACACCACAGTTCAAAAGCCTCAGTTCACCTTATAGTCCTGTCAGATTTTGCATCATAGATTCTGAGATCCTTTGAAACAGGGTAACTGTAGGTAGGTCCTGTTTTCGTTGTTTTCCAGCATGAAGCAGACTGAATGAAAGCAAAATCGGCGCCTCAGGCCCAAGGACAGAGCTGCAGAGATTCGCGTTTTCTATCTGTATGCCTCCTGTGATGCTGTCTTCACTGAGCCCATGATTAAGCCTCTGGGCATGAAGCCCCAGTGGGGTCTGGGCCAGGGGCGGCTGAGCAGCACTGAGGCCTGAGCAGCCTGAACTGACCTCAGGAGGGACACCAGTGAGGTCTCCACAGTGCCAGTGGTGTGGCTGGATTCTCAGAATTTACCTCCACCAAGAAATGCTGTTCTTCGCAGCATAAACACACACACTCATGTGAAGCTCACAGAGCCAGTGGTAACCAAAGCAATTTTAGAAGTTGGACTTTTTTCAAGGAAGATCCTTTATCACTGGCATGGTTCAGGTCTGTGCCTGGTGAGGATGGAAACCCCTCTGTGCCTTTGGGGTGGTCTCACTGTTCTCTCCAAGTTTTCTACAGAAAGGCATCCCCCTCCAGGCGCACCATCACTGCCTTGGTGGGGCTTCCAAAGTTCAAGTAAACTAACGGCTGTGGGGCGCTTCCTGGGGCCGGCACGCCGCCTGGCGCAGCCTCCGCACCAGCTCTGCGACGGGATCATCAGACAGTGAAAAGGGTGAGGTGTGCAGAGGACAGTCCCCCGCTGGGTCACACACTCACACCCCCTCAACCTTAGGGAAGGACCCCAGGCACCGGGGCCCATACGCTCAGGCACCATCTGGATTCTGGGGCCAAACGTGGGAAGGAACACAAGGGGCACCCCTTCTGGATGTATTTTCAGGTTGGGTTCTGCAAAAAAACCTTTCACAAGAGAAGGTGGGGGACCCACTGATAATTTCATGTTCTGATAACTTAGAGCTAAAAGCATACTGTTAGGGAGACTAAGTCCTGCACTTCCCTGGGCTAGGAGGGCACTGGTGAATCAGACAAAGTTAAGTCCATGCAGCAGGTCCAGGGCGTTTTCCCCGGAGCTTGGATGCAGCTGTTTGGGAAATGCCTCATTTCCAAGGTCACAGACTCAGGGCTCCTCAGCACAAAACCTGGACTCAGAGTCGTGGTGGGTAGAGGATATTCATTTCACATGCCAAAATAGATGTGTTCAAAAGAAAATTCAAATCTGTTATAATGGAATTCTGAAGTAACCATTGAAGAAAACTCAGAAAATGGGGGAAAAAAGGAAAGAAAAAATATCCCCAGTAAGCTGTCACTGCAGAGGTCCTGATTTTATTGCTTTTTTCATCAAATTGGGCTGTTTGAGGGGCCCCGTCAAACCAGCCTTTGCGACTTCTAGGCGATTAGGGGTCAGAAAACCAGCGGAAGGCGGTAGGTAGCACCTCTCACACATGGGAAGCCTAGACTATCAGAGATCATCACCTGGATAGCAAATGAACAACAGATGCTCATTCTGTTTTTTCATTTGAAATAGAAAAGTACATCAGGGCTGTTTCATGTAGATGCCGTTTACATGTCGAGAGTTTCCAGAGTTAAAAACAGCGAGGCTTAGAACAAAACAGAAAGCATCGTGAAGCTGGTGGTGACCTCTGTCCACGTCATCTTAATGTCCCTTCCGAATCCCCACCCGGGTGGGAGGCTGAGGTGGGCGCGGTGTGGAGGACAGGTGAGGTGGGGCTCTCTGCCCACAGGTGGGTCCCTAATGCCCAGGTGAGGAATCAATCTGCCAGCTGAGGTTTCCTTGTCCTGCAACCTGGAGGCCATGGACAGCACCTTCCTGCTGGGCTGGGGGCCCGCTGACCACTGCAGGAAGCCCTGCAGCCTTCTTGTTTTCAGGGGGGGAGCAAGAAGGCCCTGTGCGCTTAGCGTCTAGGCCCCACCCCCAGTGGACAAGGAGAAGGCAGTGACCGACCAGTGTGAGGCGTTTTTGCTCTCGGTTCATGACTGAAACCCAGCAGTGATCCCAGTGTCTGGGAAATGTGTGCAGGCTCCTGGAAGCCGAGCACAAAGCAAAGGCAAGGCAGAGACTTCCTGGGGGCTCAGTGGTGGAGACTCTGCCTGGCGTCGCGGAAGATGCAGGTTCAGTCCCTGATCCGGGAAGCTGGCACACGGCTTGGAGCAACTAAGCCTGCACCACGGCTACCGGATCTGCGCGCTGGAGTCCGGGAGCCGCAGTCGCTGAAGTCCACTCGCCCTAGAGCCCGCGCTCCGCAGTGAGCAGAGCCTGAGCTCCCCAGCAGAGAGTGGCCCTGCTGCCTCAGCTAGAGGAAGCCCGTGCAGCAGGAAGACCCAGCACAGCCAAAAATAAACAAATAAACAAGCAAGGCAAAAACGGAAACTTGCCAAGAATTCAAGGGACAGTCAGCTGAAGCCATCTCCGCTCTGCTCCTCTCAGTATTTGCACGCTGCTGTCCTTCTCTGGCTCGCTGGTCAGCAGACAGGGTGTCACTGGACCTTTAAGGAGTGTGCAGAGCATGGGCCGGTGTGGGAGGCGCAGCCGGCACAAAGCTGGGGTTTGGGTCCCGGAGGCGGGACGTGTGAGTGGCTGGGGTCCAAGGCTCTCGCCCTGCCCATCAGCGCGGCTCTCTGACTTGACCTTCAGCCCCGTCTCTGTGCAGAGAGCCAGGTCCTGGTTGCGTCTACAGCAGATGGACAAACGTCTGCAGTGGACTCATTCCAGATGACCAGTCATGAAAAGCGGCCCCGGTCACTCCCGATGGCTGTGTCCTCCTGCCACCAGGCCCGGACATGAGGACCTCAAGGCCTCGCTCCAGGCCCCGCCCTCCTTCCATCCTTCTGTTCGGCCGTGGGAGCTGGTTTGCAGCCCACCGCCGGCGCTAGGCTGGGACACAAGGTGGGCCCCTCACAAACTGCAGGGCGACTGTCAGGTTCCTGTGGGACGTGCGGCCCAAAAGGCTCGTGTCCGGGGCCTGCCTCCTCAGAGCCAGGGGACAGTCCCGCTCAAGCGGGAGTCCACCGACTCAACCCCGCAGCCAAGCCCAGCCATTCTTCCTGCCCCTGTGAGTGCCCACTGGGGAGAAAGGACCCGGGCCCATGCCACTGGCGGTGTCTCTGCCAACGCTGCTGCTGGCTGTGAGCAACTGAAGAAAAGGGACTGCCCCCGTGGGCTGGGTCTGGGCTCGCCCTCAGGTTCGACCCGAGGCTGGAGAAGGACCTAGAAGCTCTGATGAGGTGAAGCTGCAGTGGTCTTCAACTCAGGGCATGTCTGTCGGGCAGATGCCCGGGACCCTTGGCACCTGACTCAGAAAGGCCCACAGAGACCAGTGCTGGGGTTGTGGTGGCCAAGCCTCACCCCCAGGGCCCAGGTGGCACCTGTGCCGGCCGCCTCCTCTCAGGGAGGTCAGCCCACACCTTCCAGCTTCTGCAGTGTGGTCCAGGCCTGCCTTCCCCGCCAGCACCTCCAGCGGGAAGGGCTTCGTCCACCCATCACTCCCTGAGCAGCAGCTATGTCTCCCCCCTAAAGCCCCCCGTGCTCCACCTTCAGGGCAGGGAGATTCAGACTCGAGGCTTCTAGCAGGCACACAGGACGGTGGAAGTCATCATTCTCGCCATCACAATAAGGAGAAAGCGGAACACACTGGAAACCAAGTTTTCCCAGATTCCCCGAGAAATGTGAGGTCACGAACTGCTGCCCTCAGATTGGAGAGATGGCCAGCAGGTGCAGTGAATCAGAACTTGCTGGAGCAGGATCCTCCCGGGGTCCAGGCTGCAGGGCAGCGGGCAGCCTGGGCTGTGATCCTGGGGCTGAAGGCCTGGTGAGGATGCCTGGGAGGTAAAGTTGGGGCTCAGGTGCAGGAAGGCACCTGCACTTCTGTGAGTTTTACCTCCAGGAGCTCTGCAGGTCCTCACATGGCAGGTCAGACCATGAGCTCCTCCAGCCTCTGGGGGCTGGAAGGGAAGGGAGTAATTTTGAAATAGGCCTGAGTGCTCTGTCTCTGCCAGGAGGCTTCCCCCAGGAGGATGGTTTAGCCAGATTCTGACCTGCTGGGATGCATCAGAGCCCAGCTGACCTGGTTGGTGGTGCCTCTCCAGTCCAACTGTCCTGTCCCTGCAAAGAGAAGATAACAAACCAAACACAACCTAGAGCACTTTGTGAGCCCGTAGTCTGGGGCGCTGGACTCACTGGAAGGCTGAGACCACTCCCAGGACCAGACACACACCCCTGCACCCCCAGGGCAGCAGGGCTTCTGTGCAGAACAGGACCGATAGAGATGAGGGTGTCAGCACAGACCTCACTTGAGACAGCAAGATGCTGCACTTCTTACTGGTGAAAGTTCCAAGTGTCCGATTCTGCTTTTTAGTGAATAGTCTTATTTAGCAATTTTATCAGACATGCTTAAAAGTTCTGAGTTTATGTGTCTTTCCTTGAATTAGAAAGAGCATGTTACTGCCATTTTTTCCCCAGCAACAGTTGTGAGCTGATACCATCAAAAACATTATTTATGCTTTACCCACATCCTAGGGAAGGCCATGCCCATTTCCCATAAAAGGCTAAAATAGGTAGGATTTTTAACGTCTTTGCTGGAAGGGAAAACATAATAAAATAGATCTGGTTATTGACTGAAGATTACTTTAGCATTGCTTAAGTTGTAGGTATGTGTGCACATGCAAGTGACTTAATGAACTGTCGTTTTAGAATCAATTTATGGAGTGGAGGCGATGACCTGGAACACCCTCACCCTTTGCCTCCCCATCCCCCACCAGGGACCCGCCAACAGTGCCTCTCACAGCTTCAGCCTCTTTTGTTTGTGGGAGGCAATCATGGCTGAAAATAGCAAGTAGAATTTGCACCCCCAGCCTGGACTCCAGCTTCAGAAGCTGGCTAAGGGGGAGGCTGTTACCTGGGTTCCCATGAGTCGGTCCACTTGCTGAAAGGCAGGTGCCTGCCCTTGGGGGCGCTCACATGACATGGGGACCCCAGGTCCACAGCTGGGGCTGGGGATCTGTCTGGGGACTGAGGACCAGCTTCCAACCAGAATGCAGGCTTGCCCCAATTCCAGCGAGCCCTACAGTCTTCAACTCCTGTGTGTGGATCTCCACGTGGGGTGCTTACTTGCTTTGCAGATCGGAGGCTCCACCCCAGACCAATCACACTGAGCAGAGGGGCTGGGACCATTTTCTCAGTGATTCCCAGACTCATTAATGGGTGAGAACAGCTACAAGAAGAGCTTCTGTTGCCCAAACCTCCCTTGATATCTGTTGAGGACACGGGAATTTCAGGTAAGATCACGTTTCAGATGCAGCCGGCCCCCAGGCTGCCTGTGATGGCGGGAGGGGGCAAGTCACTCGGAACTGCCCGCTCTCGGCTCCCTTCTTCTGCTCCAGGACCTCAGAGGCCCCGGCCTCTGTTTCTCTGAGCAAGGGTCAACTTTCTGGAACCTGCTGAATGTGAAATCTCAACTACATTGTTATTGATTTTCTACATTCTGGATCTATCAGTTATTAACAGGGGTTCACTGAAGCCTCTGATGGTAAAAGCAGAGTTTTCCGTTTCACCTATCAATTCTTTCAGTTTCTGCCTCACCTATGTTGACACAGGACCGTTTGGGTGATTATTGATCTAATTGGTTGATCAAATATAATCAACCATGTATGAAGCTGTTTTCTGTTCATTGCCAGAAGCTTCTATTTCTGCCTTCTCTAGTTTTATTTTAGAATTTTATATGATTCTATTTCATCTTCTCCCTTAGTGTATCAATTAAATGTCTTTAAAGATTTTAGTGGCTTCCCTGAAATTCACAGGACATATTTTAAACAAATCTAAACATGCCTGCAAGCAGCCCTGCTCCGTCTCATGTGTAGTAGATCACGTGCCTTACGACAGAGAGTTAATCGCCTTCCCATCCCTGTGACGTTGCTGTCACGGTTTACTTGTCCTTCTGTAATATCACCCAATACTTGTTGCCTTTATTCATTCCTTCTCTGACACTCTTCCTTGTGTAGATGCAGGCTTCTGACTGTTTTGTATTCCTTCTCCCTGAAAACCTTTTATTGTTTCTTGAATTTCTTGGATCACATCCTGCTAAATTTTCTCAATTTTTATTTCTCTGAGAAAGTCTTATTTTTTTCTTCCCACTTGTAAGTTAAGTTTGTTGATTATAGAATTCTAGATTGTTGGCTTTTTTTCTTTTAACAAAGCAAATTCTTCACCCACTTAGTGTTCACTCTGCTTCAGCCAACTCTGGTGAGGCTTCTGCTGTGACGCTTGCTGTGGGCGCTCTGTCTTCTCAGGCTTCTTTCAAGGTTCTCTTTTGACTTTCTACAGTTAGAACATAACACGCTTATGTGCATTTGTTGTTGTGTTTATTCTGCCTCATGTTTTCCAAGCATCTTGGATTTGTGGTTTGGTGTCTGCCCTCAACAGTAGGATGTTCTTGGCTATTATTATTGCAAATATTTGTTCCGCTCCATTTTATCTTTTTTCTCCTCTGGTATCCCAGCTCTAGGCGTTATGCCTCTTGAAAACCTCCCTTACTTTCTGGATGCTGTATTCTGCGCGTGAATCTTGTTTTCCTTGTCCTTTTTTCTTTTGTATTTGGAAAGTTTCTTTCCCTCTTTTCAAGTTCATCAATTCTTTCCTCAACAATGTCAAATGCACTGAGGCACTTTCTTTATTTCGGTCACATTATTTTTTACTTCTAGCAATTTTTTTTTTTTTTTTTTTTTGGTTTTTCTCAGAATCTCAACCACTCTGCTTACATCACCTGCTTGTTTTCCATGCTTTCTACTTTTCCCATCAAGGCTCTTATGCTGTTATGAAGTTATTTAAGTTCCCTGCCTGCAGGGTCCATCATATCCTCAGTGATATCTGAGTCTGGCTCTGAGGCTTGGTTTATCTTTTCAGACTATGTTTCTTCTTTACCTTTCGGGATGTCTTGTACTTTTGGTTTAAAGGCGTACCTGTGCCTCTATCTGAGGACGCAGCCTCTGGAGTGAGAGGTTCTGTCGTCATGACTGGGGCCGGTCTGCGTGTCAGGCCGCCCCCGCCTTGGGTACCAGGGAGCTCCTGTTCTCTTGTCCTTGCTCTGTGCCTCCTGACCTCGGGCTCCCCGGCTGCTCCTCCGCAGAGGACGTCTGCTCCACCTCTGCTGTAGCTGCACTGTACCGGGGTTGTGTTGGGCTGGGCGAGGCTTCGGGAGGGAATATCTTTCTGTGGACGGGGGGCCCTGGGTGTGATGTTTGCAGAGGTTCCCTCTTGAGGTTACTCCTGTTCTTCCCACTGATTGAAACCAGAAGACTGGAGGAGGCAGGAGGGACAGGAGCATTTTCCCGTTGGCTCTGGCTTCCACCCTGGAGTAGAGAACTGGGTGTGTTTCACAGCAGCCGCCCTTCTCCTCCCACCTGCTGAAGTCACGAAGACACCTTGCGTCCATCTTCACTAGGAGACCTTGGCCCAACTCCTGCAGATAAAGCCAGTGGAAGCGTGGGGTCTGCTAAGCCCCCAGCCCTTAGGAGTTTCTCTCTCTCTCGTGGCTCAGGTGTAGCTGCCAGCAACTCATCAAGGTCACCCTGTAGCTGCTCCCCCGTCTGTGGCTCCAGCAGCCTCTCTCCCAGGTAAGCGGATCCTGGCTGCTGCATCTCTTGGATTCCCCTGTCCCTCAAGATTTCATAACTGCAAACTCAGTTCTCCAAGGGATCCAGAAAAGTAAATGATTTTCAGACTCTCCAGCTGTTTTTTCTGGTTGTACAGACAGGAGTGAAATTTCCATGCTCTTCACATGTCAGAGATGAATTTGGAAGCCCCCTCCACCCAGAGCATTAATTGCTTTATGTGGGACACTTGGACAATACTGCCATCACAAAAAGCAGAAACTTAGAGTCACTCTTGGAGAAAGAAGTAGCAGCCCACTCCAGTATTCTTGCCTGGAGAATCCCGTGAACAGAGGAGCCTCGTGGGCTACTGTTCATGGGGTCACAAAGAGTTGGACACGACTGAGTGACTAAGCAGATAGTCACTCTACCTGATAAGTATTCATACTAGGATATAGAATAAAATGTTTTCCTTAATCAAGAAGGAAAGGAATTACATCTGTTGTGTGTTATCATTCTTAAAGTCATCTCTGGTTAATGTTGAATATGAGGCTGCATTGATGAGGATCATTTGCCCTCGGGGAGGAGGAACCTTAACTTGGATGTTGAATTTGGGGCCTGCATTGGGCTTTCCCGGTGGCTCAGATGGTAGAGAATCCGCCTGCAATGAAGGAGACCTGGGTTTGATCCCTGGGTTGGGAAGATCCCCTGGAGAAGGGAATGGCAACCCACTTCAATATTCTTGCCTGGGAAGTCCCATGAACAGAGGAGCCAAATGGGCTATGGTCCATGGGGTCGCAGAGAGTTGGACATGACTGAGCAACTAACATATTTTTTCATCTTATGCCAAAGAGTGTCTGGGGTTCCTGCAGGCTTCCAGAAACCTCTATACCTGCCACGCCTGATGGAGCTGCTGCTTCTTTGTTCCCTGAGCCTCTTCATCATGATTCTGGAGGAGGGGAGGCTTGCTGGGGTCACAGCCAGGGGAGCAGAGGAGGACGGTCAGACACTGATTTCCCTGGATGTGGGACAGCGTAGCCAATAAACGCAGCAACGCCTGTATTTGTGCCTCATCTGAACACTGAATGAGCGTTTCTACTTGCCCTGTGTCACTAGATTGCTTCTTGGCAGGAAAGAAATGACAAATGCAGGTAGTGTGTTAAAAAGCAAAGACATAACTTTGCCAGCAAAGGTCCATATAGTCAAGGACAGGTAGTGCTTTCCTGCAGTCATGTATGGATGTGAGAGCTGGACAGTAAAGAAGGCTGAGCACCGAAGAATTTGATGCTTTTGAGCTGTGGTGTTGGGGAAGATGCTTGAGAATCCCTTGTAAAGTAAGGAGATCAACCCAATCAATCTTAAAGGAAATCAACCCTGAATATTCATTGGAAGGACTGATGTTGAAGCTGAATACAATACTTTGGCCACCTGATGTGAAGAACTGACTCATTGGAAAAGACCCTGATGCTGGCAAAGATTGAAGGCAGAAGGAAGAGAGGGTGACAGAGGATGAGATGGTTGGATGGCATCACCGATTGAATGGACATGAACTTGGGCAAACTCTGGAAGATAGTGAGGAACAGGGAAGCCTGGTGTGCTACAGTCCATGGGGTTGCAGAGAGTTGGACATGACTTGGCGCCTGAAAAACAACACCAAAATATGTCACTTGAGTCTTAAAAACAACCCAACAAGATGCATGTCCAGAGGCCGTGGTGGCTGCGTGTTTTGCTCACTGGCCTGGCGGGAGGTCCAGCCCAGAGACAGCAGATCCTAGTTTGAAATCAGCTTGTTCTATGAGCGAGAAAACTGAGCTCCATTGTCCCTGACCTGCTTCCAGCACAGGTGAGCTCCTCCAGGGGCGGCGCGTGCACCCGGGTGAGTGGGAAGCCCCCGTCAGACCCTCCCGACAGCTAAGGAGGAGGGTGGAGGGGAGGGGGGCATTTCTGGGCAGATGGGAACCCACGCCCCTCTGGCCTGGCCTGAGGGGCGCTCCTTCGAGAACAGGCTGGCTCTGGGGGCTCAGCAGCCCGAGCGGCGGTGGGCGGTGTGCTGTCCTGGGGAGCCAGGCTCCTTCTCGAACCACCTTCCCCACAGGAAGAGCTGATGGCCAGCCCCCAGGAAGCCAGGGTGAGAGCTACCGGGCCAAGTGCTGGTGATGTGAAGGAGTGTGTGTGTGAACATGTACGCATGTGTATGTGTGTGCGCATGTGTGTATATACAGTGCATGTGAACATGTATATACATGCATGTACGGGCATGCACGGAGGCGTGTGTGTGTTTGTGTGCATGGCATGTGTATATGTGAATGCATGTATCTAGTCTAGGTATGCATGTATATGTGTAGGTATGTGTATGCATGTGTGTACCATGTAAGTATATGTATATGTGTGCACGTGTGTCTGTGTACATACACATATGCACATGCAATATGTATGTGTGAGCACAAATTTACATGTATCACACGTATATGTATGTGTGTGGATATGTGCACATGTATGTTTGTGTACATATTATGTATACATGTGTGTGCACATGTGTATGTATGCATGTGTGTGCGTCTTCGGGGCTGGCCCATCCAGTTGCACTGTCGGCTGTGGCTTCAGGCAGCCTGGCTTCCAGCACTGGCCACGAGAGAGGAAAGCCTGTCTCGGGAGCACGCTGACTGGTGGAGACTCTACCTCACCGGGTGTCACCTAGGGCTAGCTAAGCCAAGGTGGTGACCGTGGACGGTGTGGGCCCCCCAGAGAGCAACGTCTCAGGGTGGGCACCACCCTCTTCAGCCCAAGACCACCTGAGGATCCTGACTGCTCTGCTTCTCATCGCCAGGACGGGCAACAAGAGGAGAGCCCCCTGGACATGACTCAGCCCGGGGCTCCGAGGAACAGACAGGACCCCTGACCCTGGCGGCCGCTCTCTTGCCAGGAGGCGCCCTTAGCGCGGGTCTTGGGTTCCCGGGCTCTGTGGAGAAACAGCCGCGGGCAGTTCCAGCTGCACTTAGAAGCATGATTGTGGTGGCCTGAGACCTTAGGCTTGCACCCACGACCAGGCCCTCAAGTTTCTACTCAGATGAGACCTTTCGCTCAGACATTTGCATTTTTAGCAGATAACTGGTTTGTAGCTCTGTGGCTGCCTTGGGAGACTTTTTTTTTATGTGGACAATTCTTAAGAAGTCTGTATCGAATTTGTTGCAATATTGCTTCTGTTGTTCTGATTTTTTGGCCATGAGGGATGTGGGATCTTGAGCTTCTCAGGTGGTGCCGGTGGTAAAGAACCCACCTGCCAACGCAGGAGATGTAAGAGACACAGGTCTGATCTCTGGGCCAGAAAGACCCAGTGGAGGAGGGCATGGTGACCCACTCCAGCATTCTTGCCCGGACAACCCCACAGACAGAGGAGCCTGGCAGGCTGAAGTTCATAGGGTCACAAAGAGTTGGACATGGCTGAAACCACTTAGCACACAAGCATGCACACGTACGTGTGGGATCTTAGCTCCCCCATCAGGGACTGAACTTGCACCCCTGCATTGGAAGGTGAAGTCCAACCACTGGACCACCAGGGAGGTCCCACTGCAGGAGACTTCCAGGTGGAAACCCAAGCAGTCAAGTTAGGCAGCCACTGGCAACTCACTCGATAGGAGTCACAGGGCATCAGCGTGTGCCTTCGCACTTAAGATGTGGCGATTTTTCTTTAAATATTTAACCAACATGGCATGATATACTTGGAAGTAACTGGAAAGTCCCAAGGACATGACCAAGATTCTAAGATTTCATATAATATGAATCAATACTCTGAAAATAGTCTCCTTGTTTAAAAAGAGAGAAAAAGGACAATGCTACAGTCAACAGCAAAATCCAAACTCAAACTTGCCTTTACCTTTTCTGATGAGCAGTAATTGACATTAATGATAGAAAAACTTCTAACATCCAAAGCAACACTGCTGCCCAGTAAAAGCTGAGCTGGGGAGATGGAGGAAATGTAAATAAAGGGGACAGCCAGACTCCAGGGCTTCAGTTGAGCATGTCAGTGGGGGCCTCTGTTGGAGCATCCTTTCTCCCCTGGCCCCGGGGCACTGCTGTCTGGGACGAGGGAGCTGGAGACCTAGAGCTGGTCAAAGTGCACCCACGCACCCTCTGGTGGGAAAAGCCAGAGTCTGGGTGCCTCTGAGTTACTCTCTTCTAAACTTGAAATGACTGCTGATGAGCCTGCAGTAAATCAACCGCAGCAACCTGTGCAATAATTAGTAAAATAAATGTGTGCTTAAGTATTAATGAAATAAATATTTAGCAGATTATTTGGGATCTTTGTTCTATCCTCAAGTGCTTAAAAAATAATGAGAGGCTTATTAAAACTTTAAACTATGACTGGTTTTCTTTTCACAATGTCCCTGTCTCCCTTAATTCAGAAAAGAAAGGACCCGTGTTCTAAAGAGGGTAGCCCGACTGACAGAACTGAAGCTGGAGACGGAGATCCTGGACAGGGCAGGGGGCTGCCTTGACCTGTAAGAATCCACTGTTAGGCCGGGGTTCGGTCCTGGTGGGGAAAGCACCCCAGCTACTGAAAAGAAGGGCTCGAAGCAGGGATTCTGGGCCCCATAGGACCACGGGGTCATAACTGCATCCCATCCCGGCAGCACACGGCACACTGTGCCCCGAGGGGCTGCTGCCGCACACCTGGGGACTCCAGGGGACCCCTCCCCAGCCCTGCAGGAGGGCTTGGGGGCCACCTCGCCGGGCGCCTGGAAACCGGAGAGTAGCAGCCATGGGCCGGTGGCTGCCACGACCCGGCCCAAGCGTCTGCACTGGGAGACCACGGACCCCGGCCTCACCCCCTTGTCTGAGTCCGAGGCAGCCCTGGCCGGTACCCTCAGACGCGCCTCCTTGCGGAGTCTGGAGAGGCCCCCAGCGGCTCTAGGCCAGCACCTACGGACAGACAGCGGCCCCGAGTGGGGAGTGCGCCCCCCGCCCCAGGGACTGAGAGGGGCCTTTGCACACTGCACTGTGACGTCCGGTCTGCATGCCGGCTGTGACCGCCTGAGGCCAGAGGAGCGTCCGCTCACGCCAAGGGCAAACCCTCAGCTCCACCTGCGAGCCCCGCTCTAG